CTGGAGAGGGACTTTTTACAAGGGTGTGTAGTGATAGGACAAGGGGCAACGGATTTAAACTGAAAGAGGGCAGATTTAGGTTAGATATAAGAAAGAAATTCTTTACATTGAGGGTGGTGAGGTACTGGAACAGGTTGCCCAGAGAAGTTGTGGATGCCCCATCCCTGGAGGTGTTCAAGGCCAGGTTGGATAAGGCTTTGGGCAACCTGGTGTAGTGGAGGGTTTCCCTGCCCATGCCAGGAGGGTTGGAACTAGATGATCTTTGAGGTCCCTTCCAACCCTAACCATTCTATGATTCTATCATTCTATGATTCTCCCCAGATACAACAAAAATCAAAACAACTTACTCTTTCAATTAAATAAAAAGTTAGTTGACATGTTAAATTTAAAACTGGGTCCTTTAAAAAGTTAGCATCTGTGTCAATATTTCCTTTGTCCCAAATGGTCTTTTAATAACATGGTAACAAAGACTCTTAAACTTTTTCATATGTTTAATTGAAATCTTGTGCACAGGTTATATATGAAGAAATTAGGTTGCAATTAAGCGTTATTAATGATTCTTAAATCTAATTGTTGTGACTATTATAGAGCACAGACAAGGTCAACTCTACAACTCAGAAAACTTTAGCCTTAAAAAAAAAATACCACCTGTATTATATGCATAAAACCCACTTTTGTAACGACATAGCTCTAATCATACTAAGCATGTTCATTCATTTAAAAAACCAGCTGCTTCCAAACTGATAAATTAAAAACATATCCCCCTTTCTGTAAAACATTAAATTTAATTTAGTAAATACAGTAAAAATATGTTAAGTAAAATTAAAAATACTCTTACAATAATTTAAAAAAAACAGTCTGCATAATGTTGTGCTTATAAGCAAATCCAAAATGTAAAAGTCATTTCAGCAATTACCGCAGAGTCCTTACACTAACCACATAAATGCCAAACACGCATTTTAACTTCTGCGTATCAGCAGCAAGGTTCAGATCATTGTATTTCAGATTTTTAGTCAAGATCACTTCCCTTTCACTTATATGCATTAGAAGTAAAAACGTTGGTGCCATCTAAAAAGGAAATCCATAAAGAAAGATAACACGGCTCTCTCCTAATCTGGCTACAGGAAAAACTGGAGAACAGAAAGAAGAATGAAAAATTATTATCCTCTCTGAAAGAAAACACTCTAAGCCAGTGAACTGCAAGTCTATCTTTGCAGCAGCGCATGGACATGAGGCTGTGAGATGCTTGGTTCTCATTGCTAGATCTGAGACAGTGAGTCACAGACAACCGTAAGACCGTCCGTACAAAACACACTGCCACTCCTCTGCTGCCGGAGCAGACACTCCACTCCACTGACTGCTCCACTGGCTCTCCGCTTGCACAAGCTGTGATGTCTCACAGGGTACGTCTGCATTAGTACTTCAGTTCAGATAAGGAGAGCACTTTTGCAAGAAATCTTCCTATTACCCTGGTTAATGCTCCTTCATTTGCAGCATGAAGCAGTCCTGTCCTGGCGTGCACAAGCCTTGTTCCTCTCCGATGAAACTAAAACCCACAAGATGTACTCCAGGGCACTATCACTGCCAAAGGGGCACAGGGGCAGACAGGAGCCAGTCCAAGGTAACACCCACTTCACTTTGCAAATGCAGAGTGCAGATAGGTACCAGGTCCTCATCACCAATTATTCCATTCTCTGAACCTGCTCTCGCTGGACTGCATTACTTGCTCGGGCGGGCCCAGCCACTGCGCTTCAGGGACTCCTTTCACCTGTAAGATGGGACCTGAGGCTCACTGAGCTTCGCAGGCTTTGCTTCCTCTTGGGTTTTTGTGTCTTCTATTGTCCAAAGTTCTCACCTCCAGCCTGTCATCTCTCCCCACTTGACCATTCACGTGTAACAGCTTACTCTTCCTCGCTATCACCTTCTCTCACCACACTGAAACTACTTCTCCCAAAGACTGCTCAAAGCCTGAGTACGATCATCTAAATAAACTTAAGTCTGGCACTTCTTAACTTTGAGTGCTGGCTGATTTTAAAATAGCAATACTTTAATGGGTTCATCATTTAAGCACACACAGAAAACAGCATGGAAGCCAACTGTTTACCATCACATCGACTCTTCAGTGCTCAACAGCAGGGTTAAAAGCTTAAAAACATATAGCCCTCAGCCCTCTATTATTGACATGGATACAGCACTAAGCATAATAAAGCACACATTTTCTCAGTGCATTTCACAGCCACTAAGAATCCTTAACACTGTGCCCTAACAGACCTTGTCTTCCCCAGCCTCTCTCTTATCAGTCCTAACCTAGAGAGATCCCCAGCTCAAGTTTTAGTCCTCCTCTCTCATTCCTACGTTCAGTTTACTTAATCCATCCTTGTAATGACCTATCTCGTTAGCCAGCTCCTCAAAACCGTTCTTCATCCCAGTACTTTCAAGTCATCCCCATACTCTTTGACTGCGCTGTAAATCACAGAGAGAGATTGTCTTGTTCTTTTCCTTGTATACCAAACCTTCCCGACTGCTGAAGGGAACAATTTTAAAAGGTCCTAGGCTATATCCACATGACCAAGTAATTTGGCATAATGGAAGCAGATAAGTCAATCGAAGCAGCTGGTGCCCAGACCCCTACATTTCCAGCACATAGGGTTTATGAGGTTTATTTCAAGTTAAATTCAGTCCGGAGCCTCAGATTGGACATCGCACCACACACGTGGCTCAGGGCTGTCGAAACGACTGATCACTGGGGCTGGAGTTCACTCAGTGTCCGCCTGGACAAGAGATCCCACGCTCAGCTTCCTCCAGGAGGAACCTGGTTTGTACCTACCAAAACCACCCTGTGAGCCAATGAGTGTCAAGTGGGGATGATCAGAAAATTCAGTTTAAAACTGTAATAGTATGATAGCTTGCAGAAGCAAGGTAGCTTTACCCATTCCCACAATGCTTCTTGGTACAGAGAGAGAATATTTAGCTGCCAAAATATGAAGTGTCTACTGAGCATACTCCAACTTTCAGAATTTAGATTAAGGTTGGACACTTTTTCTTGGCAACAATAAAAAACAGGCACTTAACTTTAGTTCTCTTGCTCCAAAGCAAGATTAAGGTAATTACATGAAATGTATAACCACTGAATTAAATGCTTACAAGTTATTGACATTGGAAAACACCAATGCACTTTTCCTTTTGTGTTCAGAAACAAACAAAACAAATGCTTTAATCCACCAACCAGAATAAGTCAGACACAGAAAATTAAGGACAATATTAGATCTAATAAAAATTTAAAAAAAAAAATCCTACTTAAACCTACACAGTTAACTATAGCAATGTAGCAAGAAGGAAAAAAAGGACCATACATTCACTCAAAGTTAATTAGAATAAGGAAAAATGCATGTCATGAAATGTCTTTACTTAGAAAAGAAAATAATTACTAACAAATCTGACATCAAAATGTCAACTCAGTAGGCTTTTCTTCAGTTAATAGATAGTAAAACAGCATGAGGAGGAAAACCTTCATTTTACATTTCAGAATTTCAAATATTTATTAAGACATTGAGTTTCATTCTACATCGTCCTTTTCTGGACCCCAGTGATTAACATAGGCATATCCAGTGCTCACAGAGTTGCTATCAGAGCGTAAGAAGAACGAGCAACGTTACATGATGAAACTGATGCCATGTAAAAGAAAATTATTTGGATCATCCTAATCATTTTCTAATACATTAGAAAGAAATTTATATGAACTAAGCAGAAGAGGAAATCGGATACCCAAACCGAGTAAACAGCAAGAAGATGGGACAGAAAATAATTTAAAATTTTAAATAGTTTCTGTCATGTAAAATTTGGTTTGTTATAAATATATATTTTTTTATATATATATTTATATGTAAGTATATACTCCAAAATAGGAAGCAGGCCTCAAGCTTCACACAGTTTAGCCCATTTTCATCTACAATACCCATAATGCATCCTGAAATACAATTTATGCAGGAATAATAAACTTTTTCTCTCATTCTCTTGGCTTCTTTGACATTTAATGTCAATCTGCAATAACAAAGCTAATAACGATCTTTGTCTTCACACACTGCTATTGAAACAAAGCATTTCTTTGTAAATTAAAGGGTAATTTTGTTCCCGCTATTCCAGTCTAAATCTTTCTGGGCTAGAATCACAGAAGCTCATGGCATAAATCACTCTATAATCCAGAACACCTTCTCTCTGCAACAGAGATGATGTTCTTTTGGAAATAATCATGTGCACAACCACAATCCAAAGCAGAGCAGCACGAAAGATTTCATCTGAAGTTCATTACATGATACAAATGCCAGATATTTCTAGAGGTTTCCCATTCAAAGCTTAACATATAGCAACATTCCCAAATTTGTAAATCACATAATGACACATTATAAAGAGACATCTCAAGAATTTACAGGAATTGAAATGTAACAGCAAATCATACTTTAGATTAGCTTATAATTACAAACATATTCTTTAATCACATGGCTTCCAGATCTGCAAACTAATCAGGTGTATGCTGAGCTTTATGCAAGTATTACATTGATTTTATAGGGTCTCCTTGCATTGGCAATACATGCTGAGCCAAGTGAATGATTTTGGCACCTAGGAAGTTTCACACAAAGTATCGCATCGACAACAGCTTCCAGGCAACCTTCTACTCTGCACCTCTATTACCACCTCTTCCAGCTGCCACAGCAGCCTACTTAGTCTGATACATGGGTGACAGCAGCTGCAACAGCAAGGTTAAGCGAGAATTACTGAGACCAACTTCCTTTCATCGTCAGTTATCCCTACAAACAGTGGCAGTGCTGAGGGTTAAGTATTAACAAGACCCAGGCCTTAATGGCCATTAATTCCATATGGTCAGATTAGCTCGCTGCAGACCAGAAGATAAATCAAGAACGCTCATATGTGTAACCATGTAAAGCCACTGTGCAGAGCACACGATACGTCAGAAGAGCTTTCCATTAAAAGGCAGAACTTACCCCTCTTCTGAACCCAGCCTTCCTTCACAATGGTAACATCGCTCATGATGGCTCCACTCTGAACCCCCAACTCAAAAGAGTATTTCTTTGAGTTATCAGCTTGTCTGTTTGGCTTCTCTTCTGCAGCTCTTTCCAATTTCTACTGATGAGTCAGCCTGGAAGGAAATATTAGAGAAAGAATTTAAGTCTTTTCTGTTTTTCTCACTTGACAGCCAACAAAAAAGTCTTTGTTGATGTCTTCCACTGACTGAGCTCATATTAAAAATCTGCCTTTTTTTTAATTAACCATATAACCGAATCGTGTTTCTAGTCTTACAGCACATTTTCCTTGAACACTGTAATACCTTAAAGAAGCAGAATATGTTAAATTTTAAGTCATATGGCACTTTTATGAAATGCACGCACAGAGAATTCTCTTGTACTAATCCTCTGGATGCTGTTAAATAAGAGGGTGCCAGTACTTCTTCACAGGTACAACTCTGAACCCATAGGAGCTTTAACCATTCCCACATTTGTTAGAATCCATGCAACAGACAAGTGGTTCCTCTATTTTGGCAATATTGATCATACCAAGAGTGCAAGAAAATGGAAGGAAAGCTTCTGTAAAGGAGCTTAAAAACAAAGCCTTTAAGTATTATGGACACAGTTATCTCCACAACTGTTAAAACCTCTAGTAACCAGTTTACCAGACATGCAATCTTTTTTTTAATGCTTGAAATAGAAAAAAAAAATATTAAAGGTTACAGAAATATAACACTCTTCCTACTTCCACTATAACTTCATTATAGCCAATACAAACCCTTAACTTAAAGTTTTCAAAAAACAGCATCACCTGAAATTACACAAACAGAAAAACAACTTCTTAAGAGTACAAATTAACCAAAATAGCCAATGTTTAGTTTATGAAAAGGAGTGCACATTCTCTCAAGGCTTTAAGCCACACAGTGACAAGAGTGCTTTTCTCCTTACAAAGCTCAGCTTGCAGGGGACAGAAGGGAAGTCAGCCCTGGAACAGGACATGCCACACTCAGAAGCCACAATCCTCTCTTCTGACCACCTCACTCCCAGAGTACCTAACAGCTGTGAAGGACAAAAACCACTACAATCAAGGAGGAGGAGAAGTCAGAGGGCAGGAGAGGTTGCCTTTTGCCAGTAGGCTGCCTTTCCCCTACATCCTTCAAAATAAAGAGAAGCATTCACATAATGCTCATCTAGAAAAGGGTGGGAAGCCAAGAAAAGGGATTTCTCTGACAGTAGAGGAACACCCTTCTACGGCTGTACACACAGGAGCACGCATGTACACAGCACTAGCACAGAGCAGGAACCCACACACCAGTTCAGTACTATCAAATGCAGCACATACATTTCCATTTAGTAGATTGACCAACAAATGTAAACATGTGATAGTAGCATCACACTTGTTTCTAGAAGTAATCTGTGCAATGAATAAACTGAGAAAGGACTGGGAAATAAGCTGTTTTACTTTAACCAAGTAGAGCCTACAAACTGAACCATCACACACGTGCAGGTTATTTCTTATTTATCATTTGAAAGATGTGTATTTGCACCACACAGCAGCTAGATGGAAGGCTACTTCTGCATGGACGTTGTGCTGCGCAAAATAAAAAACTTGGTTACGAGTATTCAAGTGGTACGCAACAAAAAATGCCCTACAAGCTTGTTTTACAGACACACTGAAGTGTGTCCATTTTACAGTTTTGCTTTCAAACTATTTTTCCAAAAACACGCAGTATTTCAGCTGTATAAAAGTAAAAACCACAATGCTAAATTCATTACCACTGCAAAGTTTAAGTACTACTGAACACAGTGCCTCTGAGACATCTCCACGGCACTGGCAGTTGTGACAGTAAGACCTATGCAGGTGATGCACCGCCCTTCATGCTGGCATCATACCCTGTTGTGTTTAAAAGGACACTGGGCACCTGTGTTTACGCAACTGCCTTCTGCCTGAAGACTTAAATATTGCTTAAGCTTTCGTAAGAGTTAAAAGAAAATGTTATGTACAAGGTTTTAGAAGGACATGAGATTGCTTCATTAGTGTTAATTGATCTCACCAGCTTTAGCTGTCTGGACTTTGTGTTATGTAAACCAGTATGGCAAAAATAACCAGAATATACATTTCCACATCCTTCACCTTACCAGTGTGAGAGTTATTTTCTGGGTCATACATTATCAGAACTTTTGTTTGCATGCTTCAAACTAGAGATAAGCAAGTCTATCAGCTGTGCATGGAAAGAGATTCTGACAGATTAAGACACGTGCCTGAAAGCCCGCTGCAGTTTTGCCGTTCTGGATCACCGCAGCACAGTGTCGGCTCTTATTACAAACACACAAATCTTCACAAAGCCAGAGGTGAGCGTCAAACAACTGTGACCTAACAGCAGCTGTTCTGTGAAGGAATATCCAAATATCTTAAGTTGAACTTAAGTTTGATTTTCCTACAATACTTTCAGTGCATTCTTTAAGTGATCACAGGCGACTTTTTTTTTCAACTATAAAAACAAAATAAGCAACATAGTGCACCGTACTTAGCTTGGCCTGGCATATGCTGAAATTTGTTTTCCCCGTTTCACAAATTTAATGTACTTTCCAATTTTGGTGTGTCCTTATGAAAAGTGCAATATTTTATTTTTATTGGTAGAGACTAAACTGTATGAAATGAACTTCTGTACTAAGTAGCAATGATCTTGTCTGCACACATACTGATCATTAAGTCCATACTTTCAGTAGACACCCAGTTTTAATGAATGAAATTTATGCTTAAAGCTCCTTATTTATCCACTGATTAAGTTAGTATTCCTCAATAAAAATCTGATTTATGACCAATTTTCATGTCAGTCAGTGTCCCAACAACCTCGAGTGTATGTCAGTAGGATTGCATCCCACTCATCACACGTCCTACTTTACCAAATTTTGAACAAAACTCTCAAAACACAAAAATCAGATAAATATGGTGACAAAACTGAATTATCTCCAGTTTAGCTTCACAATATTACCAGGAACAACTGAAGTAGAATTAGCAACAGGTCTATGGTTTAGTGATCACTCTCTTAATGAGTAATTAAAAGTCAAGCTGAAGGAGGTACATTAAAACATTAAAAGACTAATGAAAATAAAGGTTATACGTTCACACTACACTTTCAAGAAGCCATTTGTAAACACCTGAGTATTATCCCTTACTAAGCTCCTCTGAGAGGAAAGCTGTATTCCTTTACTCTGAAAGTCACTCAGCAAAGCTCTAAAAGAGCAGACTTTGGAGAATTACTTCTTATCATGACAAAAACTGACCTTAAAGGAAAATAGTCATACAGAAACCTTCTTCCCTGAAGACATAATAAAAGACTTCTATAGACGTAAAGGAGTTGCCTGAAACACGTGGAACAAGAACTCCCACATCAAAATAGCATTTCATCTATAGTTCAACTATTTCAAGAAAAGCTACAGAAATGTTTGTTCTGCACAGCTGGCATAGAACTTAAACACTTGTTAGCAATAAACTCTGCTCTCCCAATGCGCTTCAAGTTTCAGTGGCTGGTATATAGTGGTTTTTACAGTTTCCCTTATTGCTGTAAGTTGTACCCACAGAAATAGGGAAACAATGTGTAAGAACTGAAGTTGAAGATATTTTGCATTCCAGCTCCTTCCCACAGGGAAAAACTTGACGTTTTTTCGTATGTTCTAGCAACTGGAGAACAGGTTGGATCGCTTTTTTTTCCCCACATTACCAAACAGAACTTGGAAGACACTTTTCCAACAGTACATCATGTGTATTCTGCCGACAGTATCAGATAGTCATGTATATGCATAATACATACAAGAACCTATTGTTCTTGTATTGCTTTATGGCACAGGCATAAAAATTTACTTCTTTGCAGTCAGTCACATGAAGAAAAGACCTGTATTTTTTTTGATCTTGTAAAAAAATAGTAAAACTTTTCCTTTCTTCTTTGGAAAGCTATTATGCCACTTTTATAGTGTTAGATGAAACAACTCAGCACATTTCTAAAGAGCTAGTATTAAACTTCTAAGTTCCTAGCTGTAGAAGTTGCAAAGACATTTTTCTGAACAAAGATTAAGCAGAAACTATTACACGCAACAGAGTTCCAGATCCCTCTACCAAGGCTCACAGTTTTCCCAAGCCATGGTGAAAAGCAGCCAATACCTTTTCAGTTTTCATCTTGAACTTTAAGAATAACAACAATATAAAGAAGAACCAGCTCATCTCACGATAATACCAGATGGGAACTACAAGACCAACCATTAAAATGAGCAATGACCATTCAGTAGGAAGACACCTTTTCCTCAACTTGTATTTTTAAATTAAAGGAGGCTCTCATCTTCCGTTCCTTGAAATCCGTTCCAAGCAGAAGGACTAAAACGGTGGTTCAGGTCTACACTTAACAACCACTGTGTAAGTGAATAATCATTGAGATTCATAAGAACAGACAACACTCCCTTGGAATCTGGGCATCCTCCCATTTCCCCCTTGACAAGAGACAGCTCAGTAAAGAAGACGGTGCCCATAAATTCAGTGTAAATTGTATGATTCAGGACTCTGTTGTAAGAACTTTCATAAACACAGGCTCCTACTTTCAACAATTTTGGAGCTGAGAAAAAACAGATACTCTCACATTTACCAACTCGAGTTACCAGAGAGAACACCAACAGGATCAGTTTCAGCACTTCCAGAGACAATTCCTATAACTTCTTGTAGCATTATCAACTTAGTGATTCATTCAACCTTATTCTCTCAATACATAAGGGAACTACCATTTTTCCATTTTACAAGTAATCATTTGTTTAATAAAATGTTTGGGGAAAAGAAACAGTAAGCGAATCTTTCTGATTCACTTTGCCTGACTCACTGAGATTCTTTGGTCCTCAACATAAGCAGAGTGAAATATCTATCTCCTTATTTCTCAGAAAGGTAACTGAAAAGTTTTGTGCATGCATACTACCAGAAAAAGCAGCTCTCAATCATCCTCTAATGGCTTCCAGTACACACACATTTGTTTCCTTGCTGTGGGGGCTTTTTTGGTAGCATATCAAGGTCTTAAGAGGTTTTCTCAAATCTGAGTTTGAGTCCTCCGAGACAACCGAACAAGCTGTAACTGTCTCCAGCACCGGTTGCAATCCC